GCCTACAAGAGATGTGGGATTATGTGAAGAAACCTAATGTGAGGGTAATAGGGTTACCAGAAGGGGAAGAAGACAACACTCAAGGGTTGGACAAGCTATTTGAAGATATAATAGAGGAAAATTTCCCAGGCCTTGCTCAAAATCTCAATATACAAGTTCAAGAAGCTCAGAGGATCCCTGGGAGATTCAATGCAAACAGGAAGACGTCACGACATACAGGCACCAGACTGACATAAATATCAACTAAAGAGGCCCTTCTAAGACTTGTAAAATGAAAGAAGCAAGTAACATACAAGGGAAAGCCAAATCAAATAACACCAGACTTCTCTAATGAGACTTTACAAGCAAGCAGGGACTGGGGCCCCATTCTCACTCTTCTGAAACAAAACAATGCCCAGCCTAGAATGTTTTTCCCTGCAAAACTAAGTTTTGTATATGAAGGAGAAATAAAGACATTCTCAGATAAGCAAAGTCTCAGAGAATTCCCCAGGAGAAGACCAGCCCTACAAGAAGTATTCAAAACAGCGTTATGCACGGAACATCATAATAATAAACCACGAATATAAAAACAACCAAAACCCAAAGATATTAAAGGCCAGATAACACAATGGCTGAAGACAGATATCAAGCAACGACATCCAAATTTCTAGAAATACACAGCCTCCCTAGGCTCAAGCAGGAAGAAATAGATTCCCTAAACAGTTTAATCTCAAGAGCTGAAATAGAAACAGCAATTAAAAATCTCCCTATAAAGAAAAGTCCCGGTCCAGATGGTTTCACACCCGAATTTTACCACACTTACAAAGGAGAACTAGTACCTATCTTGCAGAAACTATTCCACAACATCGAGAAGAACGGAAACCTCCCTGACAGCTTTTATGAAGCAAATATTACTCTGATACCAAAACCAGGAAAGGATGCAACAAAAAAAACTACAGACCAATATCCCTAATGAATATAGATGCAAAAATTTTCAACAAAATCTTAGCTAACCGAATCCAGACGCTTATCAAAAAAATAATACATCATGACCAAGTTGGCTTCATCCGAGAGATGCAGGGATGGCTCAATATACGTAAATCTATAAATGCAATTCACCACATAAACAGAAGCAAAAACAAAGACCACATGATTCTCTCAATAGATGGAGAAAAAGCTTTTGACAAAATTCAACACCCTTTCATGATACAAACACTTAATAAAACAGGCATAGAAGGAACATACCTAAAAATGATACAAGCCATCTATGACAGACCCATAGCCAACATCATACTGAATGGGGAAAAATTGAACGCATTCCCACTTAGAACTGGAACCAGACAAGGCTGCCCAGTATCTCCACTTCTATTCAACATAGTGCGGGAAGTCCTGGCTACAGCAATCAGACAGTAAAATGGAATTAAAGGTATCCAAATAGGGGCAGAAGAGATCGAACATTCACTGTTTGCTGATGATATGATATTATATCTAGAAAACCCCAAAGATTCAACCAAGAAACTCCTGGAAC